TGTTAAGAACAATTTTATGGTCTATTTTTAAAAGCAGAGGACCATAAAATTATTATATCTTCAAAGGGTATTAACTCCCCAAAGTTTAGAATCATTACATCAAATCAGAATTTCTTACCACTTATGGGTCCTCTTGGGATCTGGCTCTGTTGTATGATAAAAATAGCAAATAATATTGAGCACTCATTAAGTGGTAGGCCCTATTCTGAGTGCTGTTCATGTTCACTCATTTCCTTCCAAACCTTATAAAGTAGGTAAGCTTCTTACCTGGCAAGTGGAAGAGCCAGAGTTCAACTAATTTATTGTTCCTCCTCCCTTGGCCTTTCATGTACGCATGCTGGAACAGTTTTTAAAAAAATAAGTACGCATAGTATAACCTGAGTGGGAGGACGTTAGATTTAAGCAGTCCTAGCCTCTGCACCAAGCCCACCCCGGTTGGTTTTTTTTTTTTTTTTTCTTACTTTCAGGTTTATTTTTTCAAATAGAATTTTTTTTCCATTTTTTTTTTTATTATTAGTTAAGGTATTACAAATGTGTCCTTATCCCTGAGTGTGTGTGCGGGGGGAGGTTGAGGGTTAATGGGGGGGGGGATAAGGACACCCCGGTTGTTTTATGAGCAAATGACCGTTATATCTGAAGGCATCGCTGTCTCAGAGAAATCAGCTGCTCCTTACCGCTCCCAATTAGCTGCTTCCCTGGAACTCAAAGATCTATTCCTCCCAGAAAGGCCCCCCAAACTGCGGGCTGGTGGAGCAATAGCCTCTATTTCCATGCCTCAGAGCAAGCATGTCAAACTCAAAGGCTAAAACGGGCCAAATAAAGGAGACATTTGGCCCACAGGCTACAAGTTTGACATGCTTGCCTTAGAGCAGCTGTGGGCAAACCGGCCCGTTTGAAATGAATAAAACTAAAAAAAAAAAAAAAAAGACCGTACCCTTTTATGTAATGATGTTTACTTTGAATTTATATTAGTTCACACAAACACTCCATCCATGCTTTTGTTCCGGCCCTCCGGTCCAGTTTAAGAACCCATTGTGGCCCTGAGTCAAAAAGTTTGCCCGCCCCTGGCCTAGGGCTTTAGTTCTCAAATCCACGTGTAAACAAGAACCTGAGGCACAAGTTGAAAATGAGGAAAAGATACAGGGATGTGCAGAGAGTCTGATTAAGCGGCTTGAGGATGGAACCCCAAATCATTTTTCAGCGCGGCTCTCCCAGTATTTCCAATGCCAGTAGTGTGCTAATTTAATTGGCATTACACACAGTGTTTGAAACATGGTCACCGCTGCCATCATTTATTCCATTGGATGGATGGCCAATAGGTTTGAAGTAAATAATTTTGCCAGCATTTCTTACCTATTTTTAAAAGGTAAATGACTCTGTGCTGTGTGGTTTCATTTCCTAAATACTGCCACAATTTCAACATCTTCAGGTCTAGAGAACTTTCTTCCTAGGATCTTCTAATACTTCATTTAGGTCATTTATTTTTTAAAAGGAGAAGATATTTATTAGCATTAGTCCATTCTCCTGAAGCAAGGCGGTCATGGACAAACTCCCACCCAAAAAGAAAAATCACACCAAAATCATACTTGTGAATCGAGTCTTTTTCTGTGTCCTGTGCAGCACCCAAACAATCAAGTTATGGAAAGTCTTACAGATGTTCTAGTCTAAATACCAGCTGTGGAAACCAGAACCTAACCAAGTGAAGTGTCTTGCCCAAGAACATACAAATACCAAATACCGTAGTTTAGAAGAGTTGAGAGTGTCTCCTTGATGAGTCTTCTCACTACTGCACCATGAGGCTCTGTATCCTCTACTCCACCTCATGTTGTCAGTAATCACTGATGCTGGGGGAGGCAAGCATGCCTGCATCAGGTAAACTCAGTCCATGTTGGTTCCTGAGCACAAATAACTTGATCATTAACAGCGGGCCCCACTAAGAGTCAAGAATAAGATAAATCATCTGGGGTGAAACCCAGTCCATAAATGTGTCACCGGCAGGACTGTAAGGTGTTTAAGGCTTTGTCTATATATAGCTAGAGAGTTTGAGAAATTCAGGTAAAAAAAAAAAACAATTTCTGGAGGAAAAGGAAGCGTGTTGACCTAGTCCTGCATACCAACCAGATGACTTGGCCAAGATTGTAGATAGTGAACTTGAGACAGGTCTACAGAGAACAGTTCTGTCCTGACTCTGTGATGTGATGTGTTATTTAATTCCAACCATACTGCCTCCCAAACATATCTTCCCTGCTATTGATTTACAGTCATGGGCACCAAGGAGGCAGGACTGTACAACTAATCTAAAATTGATTAGAATTCAGTTAAAAGCAAAAATTCCTATTAGAAATCTGGCCTGAAGCATACTTGCAAAAAATGTATACACTAATAGCTGATAGCTCTATTAAAATACATTTCATTTTCAAATAACACTGTCTTTAAAATTATTCAAAGTGTGTGCATACATTTTTGGGGATACACACACACACTTAGTTTGTGCCAATCACAGTGGAAATCTGATTCATACATGTTTGTATTGAAAAGGCCTAATTCTGAATATGATCACAACCCCTCTGAGACCATGGCAGCAGTTATGTCTCAGGTTTTACTTTGGGGCATGGTATCTGAATGGTGTTTGCCTTGTTCAGCCATAAGCAGCATAAGCAGGTATGGGCTTAGCATTCAGGGTAGGGCTTGGCAGTGCCCAGCATATGGTGTGTGATGGGTTCCTCTATGCACTAAGCAGGGATAGGAGGTAATTTGGGGAGATTCCATCAAGCTTCATTTGGAAAACAGAGTTGTCTCTGGTGGAGCTAAAGGTAATGGTTTGCATTGGCATGTGTTTCTATAATTTTTTTATATGACTTTTGAACTGGAAAGAGATAAAAGGCCTGATGTAAAACATAGGTAAATAAAATAAAACCAGCCAGACTCAAAGAGGCCCCAAATGTGTTTTATGTATGTTTCAAGGTAGTTACTTTGGCCACTGATATTTTAGAGAATCCAGAGAAAGGCATTTGCAAGCAAGAAAGTATTATCACAAGAATTCTCATGTGATGTTCACAATAAGCTATTGAAAAATGGCCTGAGGGAGAGGAAACCCCTATAGGCCCAAGTGGATCCTCCATTGCAGGCAAAATGACTGGTGTGGGTGTTTAGAGGACCCAGGAACCTTTGATTTTATACCTCATGCCCTTCTGGCACTGTGACACCCAGGAAGTCCAGTGTGCCATGCACCACGGGCCTAAGCAAGTGTGTGCTGTGGAAGTGCCATGTCACCTGCCCCTGCAGCATGGGGAGGGAATGCCTCCACTGATGGCCAGCCTAAGGTGCCATCTGTTTGCCACCAGCTGGTGCAGCAGCCATGTCAGCACAGAATAAACGTCTCAGGTGTCCTCACAGCGGCTGAGCTGTAAGCTGCTTTCTCCTGCCTTGGCCTCTGTTCCTTTACTTCCCTTGCTCAGCTGCCTGTCCTTGGAAAAGGAAAGAAGTCAGAACAACTTCACCTGAAGCAGCTCTGATCACTCTTCATAGTGAGTGCAGGAGGGCCTGAAGGTTATAGTCCTGGTGGGGCTGCTGTGTGGGATCTGAATGCACGAAGCAGCACACACCATCTTCAGTCTAGTTCCCTGGCAGAGGGCAGAGAAGAGGGTGTTTTGTGAGAACCTGTTTCAAACTTCGTCAGTGAAAGGGACCAAGAGAAGAGGAAGAATTTAGTCTCCCTGGAGGGGCGTGTGGCGTGGAGAGACTGGGCTCTGAAATCAAACAGATTTGGCTTAAAAACCCTTGTTCTGTTGACCAACATCCAGTTCAATGGCATTTTCCAAAATATAAATAAGGAATAGCATCCACTCTAAAGACTAGGAGGGTTGGATGAGAATAAACATGTAACATGCATATAGCACAGAATATTTGCTTCTTTGCAAAATAGCAAGTGGAACTTGCTTTCTATCACAGGCAGTGGTCCGAATCAGTGAGATGAGCCCACAGGCCAACCAGTTTCCTTTTAGAGAGAATGTGACACTGCACTTCCAGCAGCCTCAGAGCAGCCTCAGTGACCTTCCCACTCTTTGGAAAGCACAAGAATCTACAGGCTGATATGAACTTACTAGTAGATGCTCCATGTGTCGTCCCCATTGGAGATTTACTGAAGAAGGATGATGGCAACAGAATAGCCACCAAGGAGAGAAAGTAGCCCAGAGATCATACAACTACCTGCATGCTCAGTGCACACCAGGGATCTCAAGAGGACCAGAGCACATGACACAATACCTTGTGGTCATATCACACCTGCCATGGCTGGCTTTGCAAATCTGAGTTCAACTTGCCAGTTAACATCTACTATAAAACTACTGTGTGTGCAAGGTATTTTGCAAAGGTAGCTGAAAGGACTTTGATATCAGTAAGTAGGCAATCGTATAGAAAAGAAATTGAGTATCTCTAAGCCTAGCAACCTCACTTATAAAGTTTCCTCCACCCATAGAACTATCACTATCAATGCAGTGAAATAGAGTTTGCTCCTGTATTCACAAGGTTCTGGGTAAATGCCAGCTATTATTATTATTCATTGTTTCAGTAACTTGCTCTTGAATCTTTGCAAATATCTCCTAACCCCTTAACTTTCTCATCTGTAAACTAGAGCTGACAATACAGCATCTTTTAGTAATACCTCGAGCAGCCGTTTTTAAACTTTAGTGACCTAGAACCTGGCCCATGACCATGCTGCCCTGTAAGTTCAGTATCAAAGAGCTGTGGCATCTGTGCTAAAGAACTTGACCGAGCTCACCTGTTAGAGCCAGCACTGCATCCCTGAGTCCTGAATCCTGGATCCTGTTCTGACCAGACCACTGGGCCTCCAGAGAACATCACAGCCCTGTTGTCACTGGGTTTCCACGGGGGCGTGGGGATGGGGGGGATGATTTCAGAGTACACAGCTGAAGCTTCCAGCACTCCACAGACACCTCAAAAAGGCTAAGTGTCATTGCCTCTTTGTTCTTCCTCTACAGACACATTTGCCAGCAAAGTGGCAGCTACCCAGGACCAGTACGCAGACGCATCCATTGGTAACGTCACTGGCAGCAACGCGGTGAATGTCTTCCTGGGAATCGGTGTGGCCTGGTCCATCGCAGCCATCTACCACGCGGCCAACGGGGCACAGTTCAAAGTGTCCCCCGGCACGCTAGCTTTCTCTGTCACTCTCTTCACCATTTTTGCTTTCATCAATGTGGGGGTGCTGCTGTATCGGCGGAGGCCAGAAATCGGAGGTGAGCTGGGTGGGCCCCGGACTGCCAAGCTCCTCACATCATCCCTCTTTGTGCTCCTGTGGCTCTTGTACATTTTCTTCTCCTCCCTGGAGGCCTACTGCCACATAAAAGGCTTCTGAAGGAACAATCCGATGTAGTAAATTTATATATATATACATATATACATAAACAATACGTACAACGAACAGAGGAAACTGACATTTGTCATGTTCTCTTACCTGCTGATGGAATCCAGCTTCAAGAGCATACTTACTAGGGCTGAAGTGAGAAACCATCACCTCCCATTCCCAGGGGCATCGTCGCATGGAACAAGGCGTGGAGGCAGGGCCACCTGGGCAGCTCGGCCTAGGAGGGCTGTGTCCTCTCCAGGTTCCTAAGTCCTTAAGTCTTTGATTTGTTTTCTGTTTTGCCTTCTTTTCAGTGGGGGGTTGGGAGGTGGCTGACGTCTGCCTTTATTTTGTTTTAGTTTTGTTTTTTGTTGGGAAGATCGGGGTTCTTGCTTCTCTTGTGGGAGGTGATGACCAATCTAAATGCAAATGGATTTTGGTAAACATTTAAGTCATTAGGATTACTTTCCCTTCCCCCAAACACTTTAAAAGTTATTTTGGATTAAGAAGGGATATGGGCACGGAAGAAGAAAGCAGCCCGTCTTCACGTTACTAAATCCCAGCTTAGCTCTGGACCGTGAGCAGAGGTGAAGCTGCCTCTGAGAAGAAGCGTGGGAGCTGGGATGGAGCCAGGAAGCAGTGATGGTTGCCGATGCCGTCTGATATTTAAAGATATGCTGCCTGGCACTCCTGATCAACAGGTACAGGAAGAATAATGTGCCTAGATTCCCAGAAACACGCAAAACCCGTTACTTCTTCTCTCTTTAGCTCTGGATTGTAATTGGCAAGGCCCTTCTTCTGGTGTTTCAGCCCAGCTATCTCCCCGGGTCCCCCATCCCCTCCTCCTGCAAACAGGAAGAACAACTCCATTCAAAAACTCACATCATCCTTTGCCATTTGCATCAATCTGTGTCCCAGTCCCATGTTGCTGTTGCCTGGGATGGATCATCTGTTGGTTTTCTTTTCAAAAGCATCCATGGCTTGCACAATCCTGTTCCAGTCACGACTGAACATTTGCTCCTCCTTCATGTGCCTGTTTGGGAATGTTGTTGTGATACCTGTTACACAGTGCATGGACGAAAAACAAATAAAACAAAGCGTTATCTGTATATAGTAGAGCATAGCATACACTGTTCTCCCATTCAGCAGCGTTAACCGGACATTGAAGACATAAGTGAGTTTTCTTTTCACCTGTAACTTTTGTGTTGTTATCGAGTTTATGACTAGGGATACAAGGAGAAATGGCTTATGGTTCATGGAGCTGCACATTCATTTTGAAGAAGCAATAACTGTCACGGGGGACGTTAAAGCAATGGAGAGGACAGCAGGCAAACCACAAAGTATCTTCATGGAATAGTAGCCATGTGGAGCACACCAGAGGCCTCTAAAAAACCGCCTGTTGATTCAGGAAGGCCAAGGAGAAAGGTGTGGAGAAGTGGATGCGGGAGGCATGCCTGGGCTTTGAGAGCCTCCGTTTTTCCAGCGCCCTGTCCCTGAAGTATTTATTTCACATCTGCTCTGTCTGGCACAGATGGTAGATAGTGCTGGTTTGTTCGTTTTAATTTTTTTATAAAGGCTACTTTGAGCCCTATTTCTTTCACCATCCAGATCCTTCTGATTGTACCTGCATTTTTTGAGTAGGAAAGAGGTCAGGCTGACCAATGAATGGGTCTTTACAAGTGGGTCTTCTCTACTTACGACTGAGGGGTCAGCAGTTAGAGGAGAAGACGAGTGCCTCCCAGCAGGGCTGCACTGGGAGGTTTTTAATCCCTGGAAAGGGAATGGCTCTTTCTATTTTAAAATACCAAAGAGCGTGGTGGATAAACCCACATTCCAAAGTAGTGAGTCCACTGATGAGGAAAAACGGAATGATGTTGGCCCCCTCTTAGAGAGTTCTCTGTCTATAAAGATTCTCAGAATGGACACACCCCTAGCCCTCTGTATTAATTCAAAGATACTTAAGAAATAAAAAGTGTTGAGAGCTATTTTCTCTTTTTCCACTCAGTGATCATGATCATTCATCATTTAAATAAAGCTTTGGTGGCTGAATTAATAATTAAATGCTGGGCACCCACTCAATATGCCAGGACCTATGCTGCCACCTGGGGACTAAAGTGTGAACAAAACAGCCCAAATCCTTGCCCTCAGCAGGCTCACAGTTAACGTGATTATTGCTCTTTCCATGAGTAAAAGTCAACCCAGCCACATAGAAACATTTATCCTACAAGAAAAAACACAATTAGGACACTTTTAAAATAACACATTGAAGCTGTGCAAATATAATTGTTCAAATACTTGTGTGTTTTTTTTTTAATTAAGAGCATAGATTAGGAAAAATATCCTAGATGTCCTTGGCCAATCTTGCAGATAGGACATCTCATCTTAAACCAAGAAAGGCAATCATGCTGGTATTCCACGTCACTGCGAAGGCCCAATTAATCCCAGTTTGTATCTTGGTTTGATAACAATACTTTTCTAGGCCCTGTACCTCTACAATTCTTATCTGTTGGAGACTCACCCCAACCTGCCATGGCCTAGCACACTGGTGGCCCAACTCCTTTGGGGGCACATGTTAATTCCCTGCCCCCCCCCTTATTTTTAAGATTTACTAAATGGAAAACTAGCCTAGAAACACCAGGTAAATGTTATCAGGGGACATGAGTTGTTTAAACATTAGAAAGATTTTGCACTCATTTTTAGCCATATTTGGAATGTCAATAGGCCCATAGCAAATTGTTACAGAGGACTTTTGAGAAATTCTTGCCATTGGTCAATTTCAATTTCAAAGCTTTTGGGTTTGTTTGTTTTTAAAAATTTTATGTTATAGGGATATGATTCTGGTTGTTCAGGGTTTATTATTAATTATAGTTGTGTAAAATTATTTTATTTTGTTTGATTATTTTATTTTGTGTGTATTGTGCACAGCTTTAGGGAGAAATGCACTCATTGTGCTGCTCCTTATACATGGTACACGTTATTGACACAGAGAAATAAAGTTTCTAATTGTTTCTGACTTAATCACTAGTTATACAGCATATTCTGTATGGAATGTTTTCCTTCTTCTCATTGTCATCTACTTCATATTTTGTTTTCATGTTTTAAAGAAATAAAAACCCAAAAGGTATTATTGTGCAAGTGGTATCCTCATCCAAATGAAAAAAAAAATAGATATACTAGTATTCAACTCTTGCAAATGTCAACTCTTTGGTTATTCAGTACTTCCTTTTTAGCCTCCCAAAAGAGCACAGTATCAGAATATTGTCTGATAGTATTGAGATAAACGTTGGACAATTTGCCATTTCACTAATTGTTTTCTTACATTATTTAGTACCACTTTGTCTACATCTGTTTGGCATCTAAGAACATAAGCCCCAAAACAGTTACATATCAGATCATTTTTTAGCATATGGAGTATTCTATCAAATCTATCCATCCCAATAAAATTGATCATCAGAAGTGTGTAACTAGTTGCTTCCCTAATTGTTGTAGTAATCACTTCACTGGGTCAAGACATTCTAGCTATTGGTAAAAACCTACTGTAATTGATAAAGGAGTAGAGCAGCGGTTCTCAACCTGTGGGTCATGACCCCTTTGGCGGTCAAACGACCCTTTCACAGGGGTTGCCCAAGACCATCCTGCATATCAGATATTTACATTACGATTCATAACAGTAACAACATTACAGTTATGAAGTAGCAACGAAAATAATTTTATGGTTGGGTCACAGCATGAGGAACTGTATTTAAAGGGCCAGAAGGTTGAGAACCACTGGAGTAGAGTATGTAGAAGAGACTTGCTTAAAATCATGCTCATCTTACAGAAAAAGAAAGATGTTGTTATGAGTAGATTCATTGGCTTTGATTCTCATCTACCTATCAATTTGGGGTAATGGATTGCATTTCTGCTCTTTTTAAGCATTATGTCCTCATCAGTTCTAGCCACATTCACTGCCTTCCACCCACCGGATTTCAAGTGTTGAGTGGTCCCGGTGGTATTTCACCAACAAGAATAACACAAGAATGGGAAACAATTGTAAGTTAGATATTTCATTTTTGGCACTTAATTAGGCCATCGTTAATCTCCTCCCAAAGCAGAAAACGTGTTATCTATAGGCGGAGCAACCACTGAGAGGTGGGTTTCCTAAGGGACAGAGTGTGTCTGCTTCCCAGCCAACAAGCCATGGTGAGTATCTAGCTTTCTGTGACTTTTTCCCTGCCTGCCACAATGTCAGAAAAGGTGCACTCAGAGGCTCTCCCAATTTTCAGTTTTGTCAAAAATCCTCTGGTTTAATAATCCCTTCATATGGAACATTTAAGTCAGTGGTCATTGCATAAATTATTTTTTTATTTTATTTACTTATTTTTTAGGAAAAATCATTATTTCAAACAGCAACATGACTGTTTGGTTAAATCTATGACCGATGTCTTTGCAGGATTGCCCAGAATCGCCTGGTCTATGTGTATGTAATCATTGCTGTGCTTCACAGATGCTTGACCTGATCACGTTCTTTAGAATCATGCAGTCTTGGCCTTTTTCAAAAATCCAGAGACATGTCCCCTGGGGAATATGCAGTCGTAATCTTTCTTTTCCCTGCTTCCGACCTTTGTAATTTTTCCATAGCTACTTGTATTATATTCATTATCCTTAATAATGCTCACTCTTACCTCTCAGCAGTGGGAAAGGGTTCATGGACATGTTTCTCTGAAAGTGAATTTGTCATAGGAAAAATTAAATATGGTGACATTCCATCTAGAAAACTATCTTTTATAGAAATGCCATGCTATACTCTAGTGCAGCCGTGGGCAAACTACGGCCCATTTGAAATGAATAAAACTAAAAAAGAAAAAGACCGTACCCTTTTATGTAATGATGTTTACTTTGAATTTATATTAGTTCACACAAACACTCCATCCATGCTTTTGTTCCGGCCCTCCGGTCCAGTTTAAGAACCCATTGTGGCCCTCGAGTCAAAAAGTTTGCCCACCCCTGCTCTAGTGATTGAGTATACCCTACAGCTACACACTACAACAGATTGATGCAAAGAAGAATAAAGCCAACATTATTCATGTTTCAGGACCCATCTATCTTGCCATTCCTATCAATATATGTGGGTATGGATTGGGGATAAGGACCCTCACATACACCCTCAAAAGTGAAGTAAACACAGAAAAACCATATATGGCTTCTATGCCTCCAAGAAATAGGAATATACAAATGATAGGAAAATTTACATTAATAACCAAACACACCGAAAGAGAAATTAGTGACCTTCAATGTTACTGAGTCAATTCTGACAATTAATATACTCTTACTTTGTGGGCGACAAAGACAAAGCCACTGAGCCAAATCTAAGAGTATATTGGGGAAAATTGATTTATAGCCACTCTGTATTAGAAATTATTTATTCACCTAGAAGATTTTCAAAGACCTTGCCCTATATTCTCAAGTTGGAACAACCCACTTTTAATTTACGGGAATATTTTTAATTTTTAAAATACTGGTCAATAACTGTTTATATTTAAATTATTTTGTATTAGGTGCACAGCACAGTAGTTAGGTAATCATATACTTTAAAAAGAGTTTGCCCTGATATTTTCAGTGTCCAACTGGCACCTTACATAATTATTACAATATTACTATATTGACCCCTGGAAGCCTCGTGATAGGACAATAAATTCTCTGAGGAGATTTTCCTAAAAATGTGATTGAATGTGAAGATCCCATTCTTTCCAAGTGGAAAGGAACAATTCTATTAAATAACCAATATATAACCACTTGTCAAAATATTTCACCTAAAAATGAAACTAAATTACATAAATGTTTAAAAGTGATATGACCCACATGTCTAGTTTTGATAAAAATAAATTTCTCTATAGGTATCTTTCTACCTTCCTATACTCATCTTAACACTAAACTTTGGAAATACTCCAAAGTAGTAATCTTTCAAGATTTCACATTTTCATTAATGCTCATATAATTGAGTAATATGGTAAAACAATGATTGGGATGAGAATTATCTGTGTGTTTATCAAGAACATATTTTAAAATGAATTAACAAAAAGAAAATGCATCAATGTTTCATCACAGACTATCCTTGTCTAAGATACTGAATGTCATTCCCATTAAGGAAGACAGAGTCCCAGTTTCTAGCAACAGCAGTAAAACGTAAACTTTTCTTCTCTGATTTTTACATAAAAACTATGCTGGGTATACATAATTTTTGTTGTTGTTGCCAAAACCAAAAGTATGCTTTTGGTGCACCTTTTCATATAACTAAGTTATGTGAAATATATCAGACCTCATAAAAATGCCTTCAATAATTTTTAAGCCATGAACTTTCTAAATTTCATAACTTAATACCTTGACAATTTCGTTTATAAATGGCTGATTTCATCTTTTTAATTGATTTTAGAAAGGGAGGGAGTGAGGGAGGGAGAGAGGGAGGGAGAGAGAGAGAGAGAGAGAGAGAGAGAAACATTGATTTGTTCCATTTATTTATGCATGCTTTGGTTGATTCCTGCATGTGCCCTGACCAGGGATCAAAACTACAACCTTGGCATATCAGGATGATGCTCTAACCAACTGAGATACCAGACCAGGACATGGCTGATTCCATTTTGATGTTGTTGTGGACATATTTAAAACAATACCTGAGATGGGATATTGAGCCTGAGTCTGGCTCAAATAAACAGTAAAGCCCAGGCAGACCTATCACAATGAAAATGCTCTGAAACACTGGCCTTTCCATCCACAGCAGGTAGAGCTATTGTTTGCTAACTTCTTTCTACCAAAAAGGGCCATTTCAGCCAGTGTACAAACAAACAAAGATTTGAAATGCTAGTTTAAAGATTATTTCTATGAGAATCAGCCAGGGTTTCAGCATTAAATCTCCTCTATCCCACTCTCCCTCAAGCATGGAGATACAAATATAAACACAAAAATAGGTGATGAATGTCAAATAACTAGAACTGCATTTTTGGGGTGTCTAGGACAGCTCTAAAAGCCCATGTTAGGTTACTATTCCATTTTATCAGACCTCTTTTTTAGGTGGAAAAAAAGGGAAGGAAACACATTCCTGAATTGTTCCTTTTAGCAATGCGCATTCAAAGTTGTTTGAAACTACTTAGAACACTGTTCATTATAGATAGCCTTCTAGAATAGATAGCCTCCTATAAGTAGCTTTTAAAGAGAAAGAAATTCATTTTTCTTTCCTTCATTTAGCAAGCATTTCTGATAGGAAGATTTTAGGCTCAATTAGGGCTTCTTTCTGACTTTTCCAATTACCTATCTGCCTTTGCGAAGGTGTTGAAAAATATCCTTGTCTAGTCAAACCGTGGGGGATTAAAAGGATAAGATTTTTGTATTTTTCATGAAAACAGCACCAAGCAGGCCAGCTCCCATACATCAGCTGACGTTATCTAGAAATATATTTTGCATGTTGGGAGAAAAGGAATAGGAATCCCACCCCGTTCTGCCAAAATACCTGATCGTCTACCACCATGTAGCACCTCCACGAGTTGTAGTTTAGCTTAGATATTTTTCAACTGAACCAACTGAACTGCCAAGATTTTACAAACAGGCAAACTACCCCGTTCCACCATT